CGGTTTGCGATTTCAATGTAAACCAATGGGGAATGATCAAATAGGTGAAAACTGACATTCTTGCAGTAAATTAAGCCTCTTTGAGACCTTTTGCGATTTCAATGTAAAACAATGGGGAATGATGAAATAGTTGAAAACTGACATTCTTGCAGTTACTTGAGTCTTTTTGAGAACGTTTGCGATTTCAATGTAAACCAATGGGGAATGATCAAATAGGTGAAAACTGACATTCTTACAGTAACTTGAGTCTTTTCAATGTAAACCAATGGGGAATGATCAAATAGGTGAAAACTGACATTCTTGCAGTTACTTGACTCTTTTTGAGACGGTTTGCGATTTCAATGTAAACCAATGGGGAATGATCAAACAGGTGAAAACTGACTTCTTGCAGTAACTTGAGTCTTTTTGAGACGGTTTGCCATTTCAATGTAAACCAATGGGGAATGATCAAATAGGTGAAAACTGACATTCTTGCAGTTACGTGAGTCTTTTTGAGACGGTTTGCGATTTCAATGTAAACCAATGGGGAATGATCAAATAGGTGAAAACTGACATTCTTGAAGTAACGAGTTTTTGAGACCGTTTGCAATTTCAATGTAAAACAATGGGGAATGATCAAATAGGTGAAAACACATTCTTGCAGTTAATTGAGCCTTTTTGAGACGGTTTGCGATTTCAATGTAAACCAACGGGGAATGATCAAATAGGTGAAAACTGACATTCTTGCAGTTACTTGAGTTTTTGAGACGGTTTGCGATTTCAATGTAAACCAATGGGGAATGATCAAACAGGTGAAAACTGACTTCTTGCAGTAACTTGAACCTTTTTGAGACGGTTTGCAATTTCAATGTAAACCAATGGGGAATGATCAAAAAGGTGAAAACTGACATTCTTGCAGTAACTTGAGTCTTTTTGAGACCGTTTGCGATTTCAATGTAACCCAATGGGGAATGATCAAATAGGTGAAAACTGACATTCTTGCAGTTTGAGTCTTTTTGAGACGGCTTGCGATTTCAATGTAAACCAATGGGGAATGATCAAATAGGTGAAAACTGACATTCTTGCAGTTACGTGAGTATTTTTGAGACGGTTTGCGATTCCAATGTAAACCAGTGGGGAATGATCAAACAGGTGAAAACTGACATTCTTGCAGTAACGAGTCTTTTTGAGACGGTTTGCGATTTCAATGTAAACCAATGGGGAACGATCAAAAAGGTGAAAAATGACATTCTTGCAGTAATTTGAGTCTTTTTGAGACCGTTTGCGATTTCAATGTAAACGAATGGGGAATGATCAAATAGGTGAAAACTGGCATTCTTGCAGTAATTTGAGTCTTTTTGAGACGGCTTGCGATTTCAATGTAAACCAATGGGGAATGATCAAATAGGTGAAAACTGTCTTGCAGTAACTTGAGTCTTTTTGAGACGGTTTGCGATTTCAATGTAAACCAATGGGGAATGATCAAATAGGTGAAAACTGACATTCTTGCAGTAACTTGTCTTTTTGAGACCGTTTGTGATTTCAATGTAAACCAATGGGGAATGATCAAATAGGTGAAAACTTACATTCTTGCAGTAACTTGAGTCTTTTTGAGACGGCTTGCGATTTCAATGTAAACCAATGGGGAATGATCAAATAGGTGAAAACTGACATTCTTGCAGTAACTTGAGTCTTTTTGAGACGCTTTGCGATTTCAATGTAAACCAAAGGGAATGATCAAATAGGTGAAAACTGACATTCTTGCAGTTACGTGAGTCTTTTTGAGACGGTTTGCGATTTCAGTGTAAACCAATGGGGAATGAACAAATAGGTGAAAACTGACATTCTTGCAGTTACGTGAGTCTTTTTGAGACGGTTTGCGATTTCAATGTAAACCAATGGGGAATGATCAAATAGGTGAAAACTTACATTCTTGCAGTAACTTGAGTCTTTTTGAGACGGCTTGCGATTTCAATGTAAACCAATGGGGAATGATCAAATAGGTGAAAACTGACATTCTTGTTCTTTTGTCACCTGGCAGATCTTTTCTCTTAAATCCTTCTTTTAAGGTTGTTATTTGATCTGCCATACCCGCTGCCTCTACAATTGTGGATGGCTTGCGATCCTGAATCACCCAACGAATATCATAAGGCACTAGTTGGAAAAACTGCTCCAGCTTCAAAAGTTCCCTCAGCTGTTGATAATCTTCCACCTCAGATGTCCTTATCCAACTATCGAACAGTTGAGACAATCTTGAGGCCACCTGACCAAAACTTTGAGTTTTATCTTTCTTTAATGTCCTGAACTTAAATCTATAATATTCAGGAGTCAATCTAAATTCTTGTTGAATCTGTTTCTTAAACAGATCATAGTCTCCATAAGAATCCTCAGACATCTGTCCATAAATCTGCAAAAGTTTCCCACTTATCTGAGGCCTTAGGTATGTCATCCATTTTTCCTTAGCCACCCCAAAATCTTGACAACATCTCTCAAAAGATATTAGGAATTTCTCTGGGTCATCGTCTTTGGTAAATTTTGGGAATTTCTTCGTCAAATCTGGGGTATCTCCTCCAGATCTCCCTTCCTGGATATCCCTGGATGTTTGAGACAAAGCCAATCTTTGTTTCTCTAGCTCAAACTCCATTCTCTTCAATTCTAACTCCTGTTCCAATTCTCTCACTCTCTGTCTTTCTTCAAACTCTCTCTGTTTTGCCTCTTTCTCCAGTTCTCTCTCTCTCTGTTTTTCTTCCTCCATCTCCAATCGTTTCATCTCTAGTTTATACTTATAAGCCATTTCTGAGAAAGGCATCGGCTCGGTCTCTGTCTCAGAGCTCGAACTTTCCTCTTGGTCTCCCTCTCTTTCCTCAGCCAGCTTTCTCTGTCGCCTGGTAGCCATCTTTCAGCAACTTTTACCTCACAACTTATTTCAAAATTAACTTAAGGCACTCGAGCAGTTGTTACACGAATCCCGTCGTCTGCCACCAAAAATGTAAGGAAGCGTAATCCCACCTAAATGGGATTACCAAAATTAAGTAAATATGTATGTTAATCCACCTAATTTCAACCTAAATTATAAGGAAGTCCCAAAATTGCTTGATTACACTGCCACCATTATATATATAGAGAGACGTTGGAATTGAAGTCTCTATTTATCCCTATCTGCGTTGTGAGGCAACTTTGGTAGAGTGGATTGCACCAAATGTAAAATCAATGGAGGAGGCAGATTTATAACACAGAGAGAACAAGTTTATTGTTAACAGAGCGTAATTGTTGCAATACTGAGATGTTGAACTTGGCACAAGCTTGATGGTTACAATATGGCTTGGTAGAGATACATTCAGGCTTCTGATGTTACAATCCTTTAAACTCCTTCTTCAGTGAAGTACTTTATTATTTCAGTGTTCCCTGTTGTGAATATTCACTCTGTTTGTCCTATACCGGATCAAACCACCGATCTCCAGTCTTTCACTACTGGGATCCCTAAAACCCCCTTTGTTAGATTCTTTTTAACACAAGCAATCTAACAAGGTTGTCACCTTCAGCTCCCTTGCTGAAGAAATATTCACAAATGCTAAGAACTAACTGAATTTATACTGCTTCACACACAGAGCCCTAACTGACTCCGCTCCTCTTCTCAGGGTCTCATCCTCCTGACTGACTATTAACTGTTACTTTCAAAACCTTTTTCTCCTTAAGCTCCGCCCACCTTCTCTTCTGCCTTGTCACCATGGCAACCTATCTCTCACAGCTAGGCCATGGCCACGCATGTAAAACATAAATACAGTTTAAACACAGTACAATAAACCCTTTATAATAAACACTTCTCTACACAGTCAACTTACAACAAAGAAAAAAAAGAACTTACGACCATCCACTGTTTTTGTCTCCAAGTGGACTATGTCTGGTTCTTTACTGGTCCCCATCCTAGACCTGGGAAAAGAGAAACTAAAGTTGTAATTTTAGTATGAAGAAATAAATAGATACATTTCTATGAAATACTGCTTGTTGAATTTATACATTGCGTTTTAATTTACATTTGGGAAAAGTAATGGTTACTTAGGTGATGCCTCGTAGCCCAAGGATGATGGTCCTCCAAGTGTAGTGTCTTGGCAGTGGGTTTGTAGGTGGCTGTGGAACCCTATTCTTGATCCGCATATTCTCCTGCAGCGAGGACATCGGTTTCCAGGTGGAAGGTGGTTCTTGTCAGGGTTGGCTTGACGCACCTTCCTCTTGACATGTTTCTCCCTTTTGCCCTCCATTCATGCCTCTTCGAATTTTGAAGCACTGCTGGTCACAGCTGACCTCCAGTTACAGCACTCAACAGCCAGGGCTTCCCAGTTCTCAGTATCTATGCCACAGTTTTTAAAGTTGGCTTTAAATCTCTTTTTCTGTCCACCAACATTACGTTTCCCATAGTTAGTACTCTAATTATAACTGAGATGTTTTAATCTCAGTTATAATTATAAATCATTTCAAGTAAGTTCTGACTCTTCCTTCCCATGGCTTGTTAATCAAAGAACCCTGAGTCCACAATTGATTCAGCTCACCTTGTGAAAATCAAGAGCACAGCTGTGACTGAAAAAATTAAATAAAGTTTATTATGATCATCAAGAGATGGAATAGAGAGATATATTTGTCCACTCCCTTGGACTTTCATATTCTGTTGCAGGTTCTTCGTGTAACTCCTGATACATATTCACACTTCATGTTAAAAATGCCACAATCAAACTTAAATGCTTCTGTCTAAACTTAGACAAACGTCGTGATTTACCTGGCCTTAAGCCTTTGCTGTGATTTACCATCAAAGTATTGATGTTCTCATTTGTATTATTTCTGTTAACACGGTTATGTCAGCAGCCTTCTGTCCTCCCCAATAACGCACAAGTGCACTTTATGATCTGTGGCACACTGGAAGGACTAGGAAGAATTGAAGGGCAGGACCCACAGGTCCCAGATATTTACAACTACAAGTATAACAATGTCTGTCATTACATGTTAGCAACTGAGAAAGCAAATGAAGACCAGGGAGGAAATGCTCCCGGGGCAGTTGGGTTCACAGGTGGGGGGGCTGCTATAGAGGGGGTGACGGGTAGAGGGAGATACGGGAAAAGGAGACTAAACCACTCATTTCGGCCCAAAATTTACAATAAGAATTCGACAAACGCAAATTATAGCAATGATCCGAGACGTAAGCAAATCCGGCCCAAAATTTTCAATAGAACATTGGCGATTCCAAAAATTATCCATCTCACAACTCAAAAAACTATTCGGCCTGAAAATAACAAGAATGTATTGGCAATTCCAAAAGACTCTCCTGACAAGATACAGCTGAGATGTCAGGATGGTGGTCCCACTGGGTTAAGGATGGTGCTGCTCAATGGCAGGTCGGTTAATGGAAAGACATCCATCATCCGAGACCTAATCCAGGAAGAACAAGCTGATCTGACATGTATAACGGAGACCTGGCTAGACGAGGGGGGAGGGGTGAATCTCTCCCAACTATGCCCACCTGGCTATTGTGTGCAGCACCAGCCAAGACCCAGAGGGCAGGGAGGAGGAGTTGCAGTGGTCTGTAAGGATTTTATCCCCCTGATCAGGCGCCCCATCCCGCAATCATCATCATTCAAATGTGCCGGCTTCAGGTTAGGTGACGGGGACAGGATAGGGATTCTGTTAGTGTACCGACCACCCCGCCTCACGACAGTCTCCCTACCTGAGCTAGCAGGTGTGGTCTCGGATATGGCGCTGGGCTCCCAGTGACTTTTAGTCCTGGGGGATTTCAACGTCCATGCCGAGACCCCCCTTTCAGGTGCAGCTCAGGACTTTATGGCCGCCATGACAACCATGGGCCTGTCCCAATTAGTATCTGGTCCCACCCATACTGCCGGACACACACTGGATTTGGTCTTTACTCAGGGATGGGGTGATAGTGTTGGGGTGGAGGAGCTGACCATCGCTCCATTGTCATGGACCGATCACTACCTGATTAGGTTTAGACTTACTGTACCTCCTAACCTCCGCAGGGGTGGTGGACCCATTAGAATGGTCCGCCCCAGGAGGCTTATGGATCCAAATGGTTTCCTGACGGCTCTTGGGGAAGTTTCCCACCTCCTTGACTGGCGACCCTGTCGATGCCTTGGTCTCTCATTGGAACACCGAGATGACTAGGGCAATCGACACAATCGCTCCGGAACGCCCCCTTTCGAGTAACCGAGCTAACCCGGCCTCTTGGTTTACTGAGGAGCTGGCAGCAATGAAGCAAAAGAAAAGGTGGCTAGAGCGCGTGTGGCGCAGGAGTCCGACCAAATCAGCCCAAACACATCTGAATGCCTTTCTAAGGTCCTACGATGTGGCAATAGCGGCAGCACAAAAAACATCTTTTGCTGCCAATATTGCATCTGCGAAGAATCATCCAGCTGAGCTCTTCCGAGTTGTCAGGGGTCTGTTAAACCCGCCGAAAAGCAAGATCCCTGACAGCTCTGGAGCTCGCTGTGAAGCGTTTGCTCGATTTTTCGCAGATAAAATTGTGGTCGGTTTTTGACACCACTTTACCTGCAGTCTCTGAGAATGTAACGAGAGCATCTGCTTGTCAGGTTTTGTTGGATTCATTTCAATTGGTTCAGCTTGAGGATGTGGACAGGACCCTTGGAGAGGTGCAACCCACCACATGCATCCCCTGTCCATCCTGGCTGATAAAAGAAGCCAGAGGGGGTTTGGTAGAGTGGGTGAAGGTGGTGGTTAATGCCTCCTTACAGGAGGGCAAGATTCCAGCGAGCTTAAAACAGCTATTATCAAACCGCTGTTGAAAAAACCATCACTGGACCCCACTCAATTAGACAACTATCGGCCAGTTTCCAATCTCCCCTATTTGGGCAAAGTCCTGGAACGTGTGGTGGCAGCACAACTCCAGGGATTTCTGGTAGACACTGATTATCTTGATCCGGCACAGTCTGGCTTTAGACCGGGACATGGAACGGAAACAGCCTTGGTCGCCTTGGTAGATGATCTTCGCAGGGAGCTGGACAGGGGGAGTGTGTCCCTGTTAGTTCTGCTGGACCTCTCAGCGGCTTTCGATACCGTCGATCACGGTATCCTTCTGGGACGCCTCATGGACATGGGTCTTGGGGGTACTGCTTTGCAGTGGCTCCAGTCATTTCTTGAGGGACGGTCCCAGAAGGTGTTACTGGGTGACACCTGTTCGGCCCCACAACCGTTGTTGTGTGGAGTCCCACAGGGTTCAATTCTGTCCCCGATGTTATTTAACATCTACATGAAGCCGCTGGGGGAGATCATTCGGAGTTTCGGAATGAGATGTTATCTCTACAGATGATGTCCAAATCTGTCACTCCTTCTCACCTGTCACCAAGGAGGCTGTCCAGACCTTGAATCGGTGCGCTGCTGTGTCGGACTGTATGAGAGCTAACAAATTGAAATTGAATCCAGACAAGACAGAGGTCCTACTGGTCAGTCGTAAGGCCGAACAGGGCATAGGGTTACAGCCTGTGTTAGACGGGGTTACACTCCCCCTTAAGATGCAGGTTCGCAGCTTGGGAGTGATCCTGGACTCATCGCTGAGCCTGGAACCCCAGGTCTCGGCGGTGGCCGGGAGAGCTTTTGCGCAATTAAAACTTGTGCACCAGTTGCGCCCGTACCTTGGGAAGTCTGATCTGGCCACGGGGGTCCACGCTCTTGTTACATCCCGAATAGACTACTGCAACGCACTCTACGTGGGGTTGCCCTTGAAGACTGTTCGGAAACTTCAACTAGTCCAGCGAGCGGCAGCCAGATTGCTCACCGGAGCGACATACAGGGAGCATACCACCCCCCTGCTGTGCCAGCTCCACTGGCTGCCGATTCAGTTCCGAGCACAATTCAAGGTGCTGGTTTTGACCTACAAAACCCTGTACGGTTCCGGTCCAGTGTATCTGTCCGAACGTATCTCCCTCTACGTCCCACCCCGGAGTCTGAGATCATCTGGGGAGGCCCTGCTCTCGACCCCACCACTGTCACAAGTGAGGCTGGTGGGGACGAGGAGCAGGGCTTTCTCAGTGGTGGCCCCTCACCTGTGGAACTCACTCCCGGGGGAAATCAGGGCATCATCATCCCTCCTCGCCTTTAGGAGAAGGGTGAAGACTTGGTTATGGGACCAGGCCTTTGGGCACTCCGGCAACTAAATCAGACAACCAGGCGAGTAAGACCAGCAGGATTGATGAAGTGGAACGTAAAACTAGATCTATGAGTAGCGAACGCTGACCATGTAAGAGGAGAAATTGGGTTTGTATTTGGTTTTATTGATTTTATTGATTTTATGGTTATAATGTATATTTGTTGTTAACTGTGTATTGATGTAATTCTGTGTTTGATTGTCTTTATGATGCAGGCATCAAATTGTGCCTTTGCTTTTGTAAGCCGCCCTGAGTCCCCTTCGGGGTGAGAAGGGCAGGGTAAAAGAACCCCAAATAAATAAATAAATACATAAATAAATAAATAAACTACAACATGATACATATCAAAAGTTTTCCTGTCTATTAACTTTATGACTTCTGAGTACCTTTGACCATGATTTCATTTTTTTCTATTTCTGAAGTTAATCTGATTTCTTCATATCATCTGCTATTTATTATGTTTATATGAGTATGGACACAGAAATATATATCTATATCCTACGTAAAAACAGGTTAGTCTTTTTGAGTTACATAGTACTTATTTCCATGTAAGTAGGTTCAGGACGGCAGGCTTGGTCTATCTGAATAACTAGAATTCTTAGTGAAAAGTATTTTATCATTCATTGTACTAAATCAAAAACTACTTTTCTATTAATTTTTTCCAGAAAGTTCTTTCTTCAAATATAAAATGACTAAGAGAAGTAGGGATGGTTTGGAAATAAAATATACTAATTTGTTCATAGAATTAGAAAAAACAAAATGTAA